CAGCCAACAGTATGAACACTTGAACTACCCATCATATTCTGTCTAGAATGAAATCCTGGTGGATTTAGACATATTAAATTTTAAGTTGGTAGATTGATTTTAAACTGGTGTGTATCTTGAGAAAAGGGCTAGTTATTAGTTGTGAATTTAATATCTGTGAGTTTGAAGGATGGAAAAAAAATAATTTCTAGTGGTCAGATTAACTGCTGTATCACTGTAGTTTTAAACTGGTATAATTCCACTGCAGTCAATGGGTTTATATCAGTATAAAATTGACATATCACTGTGCTGAGTCAGGCTTGCGGGATTTGGTAATCTGGAATGCTATGTATTCTTTAAAATATAACTATATTTTTCAGTAAGAATCAGAATAAGGCATAGAGTTAACATAAGCAACTCTTTTCAGACTGAGCCTCTATAATATAATTCTCAATTTAGTTAGAATCTAGCCAGTCCAGAATGAAAGCCCCCATTTCCCTTTACTACATCCACTTTACACTGCTCTGTCAAACTGGTAGACCTTATCATAACTGAAAATCAGACCCCCAAATACTTAAAAAAAAAAAAAAAAAAGCTTCAATAAAACATTAAAACATCTTCCTCAAGTTCTATGGAGTTCTAAATAAATAAATAAAATTTAATTATATCTGTGTGGGTACAAATGCATGCATTTGTGCATATATGCATGTATGTGTTCACGTACAGACTGAATATACTTTGTATATCTAATATGAAATATATCTTGCTGGAAAGAGCTGTTGGTTCATACGTAAGTTATTAAATGAAATCAGCAATAATACCATGATCATGAATAGGACCAAAAATAGACAAGAAGAAAGTGAATAATTTGGATCCAGCAGTGAGCAAATTTAGTTTGAAAGAAAATCACTGTAACTAGCTGAGCTGCACATGCTTTCTCTAGTGTTTGTAAAATCCCACAATGGAGAGCAATTGCAACTGCCAAGATGTGTCAAGGGTATGTATTTAAAGCTGAGAATAAGCATTTGATAGTGAAATGATTGGACTAAAGTTTAGTCTTTGAAATAAAGTGAGGTTGCCAAAAAAAACCCTACCCTTGGATGTTGCAGTATGCCAACCTAAGTGATTTCCACCTGACATCTAATGTGCACTTTTTAATAGGTCTAAATCCAATCTGAGTTGCACCAATGTACTTAAGCATAAATCTTACTGACCCAGTGGAAATTACTATCATTTTGTTAAAATGATATCATCTGTTTATGTAGTAAAATAGTTTTCTTAATTTAGATCACTGTGTTGTAATTAACAATTGTTTTAATTAAATTATTTTTATTTTAAGTCTGCCAGTCTTTCACTCTCAGTTCCTCTACCATGAATTTCTAGTCATCCTCACACCTCCATAACTTATATGGTCTATTATAAAACATATGGGAAAACTATTCTTCTCAAACCCACAAACATGGGGGGGGCATGCCCACCTTTTATAGGTTTAATTACCTAACAGGATTTGGAAGTCCCAGGTTTAGTTATCTCTTCTACTTTATGAGATTCAACTTCGTGATCAATGCTCAAATAACGAAACTATAACTTAAACTTAAGAACACCCCAGCTTCTCCTTCCTTGTACACCCCTGAAGTTCTCTCCAAAATCTGCATGCTGACATACATACCTTGTTTTGCAGTAATTGTTAGCAGGCAGCATACATTATACCTTTATTTGGGGATAAAAGGTCTAAATAAGAAATCTATAAATGCCAATTGAGGTTGAGAATGTATGTACATATTTTTGTCTGTGAATGTGTTTTCTTAGGATGGCCAGTTATTTAACCAAAGTTTATTAAGTTTCTTGTTAAGAAGATTGATTTAGCTCTATGTAGTTGACAGTGCCACAGCATTTGGTTTTTAAAAGCAGGTCAAGTACATAATGAAGCAGACACATTGCAAATGTGGTGGTGGTAGTCCGAAGAGTACAATTTCATGGCTTTTACCCAAGAAGATTTTCTCTTCAATTATGTATGTTTGAAAGTCACCATTACATCCTGTGTCTCTTGTGAATTAAATACTATCCCATCTAGAATTGGTGAAAGGAAAACAAGTGTTCATTAAGGAGGCCATTATAAATCTTGCTGTATATTCCTGTATTAACATGAAATCTTATATTTAGATGAAGTTAAGATTGTCAAAAAAGCTCACAAAAGTAGAAATGTAGGAAGTCCTGCAGCTACTGGGCATAATCAAGCCTCGGAAGGGCAATTTTTTTTGATGTGCTGTAATGTAAGGGTACTTACACAGAAATAGAATTGCCTTAGGCAGTCAATACAGGAACATTATATAATTACCGACAAGGTGAACAGTTATTTCTCAGTTATGCAAATCTGCACAATCTGATTGACTAAGAAGGTCTGATTTATCTAATGACTGGATATTTCTAAAGCTTAAAGTATGAAGATTCCTACGCTTTTTTTTTTAGGGCCAATTTAAAAAAAACCCCAAACACTTATATTAACAAATCCCCCTTTTTTCCTCTCCATCAACATCAGTTACAGCAGGATTGATTAAGGAAAAAAAATCCAATAGCTTCTATCAGCCCATTCAAGCTTTGAGTAATTTTAAAAGGTAAAAATGACATTGCTGTAGACGGGACTGCAAAAAGCATTACTAAGTAAGATACTCTGCTTTTCACTTTTTTTTTCTTTTTTCTTATTTGAAGATGCGGATGAGAAGTAGGCTTTGAAAATACATATCTAGAAATTGCCAGTAGCAAACAAATTATTTATGGTTGCAAAGCAACTTTTCACAATAATCTCCAGATTTCACATGCTTATAACTTTCTAAAATATTCATTTTCTAGGCTGAAATTTTCTGTTTGGTCTCTGACTAAGATTTTAGAACTTTTGAGCAAAACTCTATTTGGTCTGGTTTTTTGCATGATGAATACCTGAGTTGTGATGAGGAAAAATATATCCAATCATACACTTTTGAACAAGTTACAGGCAATACAGCTGCAGTTTATGGTTGAAATATGGCTCTTTACTAAGGCTAGAATTTCAAGGAGCCTAAGGTGTTATGGTGCTTAGCTTCACAACCCACAATTTGAAGTGTGTGCCAGATCCATTCCACCTAGTAGATATGTATGTATACTTTTCAACTCTGTTCAAATATTTGAAAATACATTAATACATTTTTGTTTATAACAATCTGTCATCTTATCCTTAAGACAGTCACAGAAAAGCAGAAGTGAAGATTGTTTAGGTGCCTGAAATATGGAGTAGGATCTTGAGCATGCCCCACTCACCTGCTCCCACTTTGTACACATCAAACTCAAAAATGGGGTCCCCCATTCTTAAGGACTGTCTCCAGCATGCTTTGGTGGGGGGGAAGGTGGGAAGATAGGGAAGAAGAGAAGGGAAATACCCTTAAAGCAATCCTCACTGCCTCATTTCTAGGTTTGGTTCCTGGCCTCTGGAGTTAAGTGTCAATACCTGGGGAGAGATAAATACCAAAGTATAGAATCTATGTGAGCAAATATGCTGAAGAGATGATCTGAGCTAACCCACAACAAACTCTGAGGATAGGGGTATTTACTAAGTCTCACTAGCGCTGTAGTTTTAGTATCTAATTCCACTTGGGATTCAGAGCCCTGAAACTTATCCTAGAAACAGGGGCCTAAAGAATTTCTTTCAGACACAAACTCTTTATTTAAAACAAGGGTTGTTGGTGCCAACTTATATAATGCCAACTATAGTTAATAATATGTATTGAAAATAAATATTACTTTCTTCAGTCAATCACATCTACTGGTAATGATCCTAACCAATTGCTCAGTGCAGTCAGTGGGGCCACGTCCAGATGAGCATGGCTGCATGTGGCACCATGTACCACGCATTCAGTTGTTCTCTATGCTGCAGGGGAGCAGTGCTGGAGGGGTGGGGTGGGGGGAGTGACCCCTGGATATCCCTGCCACACAGAGCCTGGCCAGCAGCTGCAGCATGGCTCTGGTCAGCCAGGTTTTGAGCAGTACACACTGCCCCCAGTGCACGCTGACATGGGGATAGCGTGCACCACTCAAAACCAGAGCCTGGCTGACCGGAGCCATGCTATGGCTGCTGGCCAGACTCCATGGGGCAGGGTCACTGCGGCTGCAGCCCCAGGAGACCCCCAGGAACCCAGTTAAGGCTGCTGGAGCGAGCCCAGTGCTGGCCCCAGCCTCCCCTACCCCATCTGAGATAAGCCACATGCCAGAGGGCATGTGGCACAGGCGCTCCTCAGGGACAACTAGAAGTAGCAAAAGTGGGCAGCTGCTAGTTGTCCCAGGACACCAAACATCCACACATGTGTGGACATGGCCTAGGAGTCTTTCCATTGGCTTCAATGGATTTGGATCAAGTTCATTATGAAAATTTGTATGGTGTTACAGCAATTATGTTACTTACATTGCATCAAATGCATGTTGTGCTGCCTATGAAACACTGTTTCTTACTTGAGATGATACCAAAGAAAAAATTGACTATGATATTCAAAGTCAGGAGTGGATTTGCATGAATAAGGACTGGTACATCATTTATACCAGTGTAAATATGAATAATTACATAAAAAGCAGCAGTTACTCTGATATAATAAAGATAGTAAAAGGTGACTAGATTAAACTATAATGGTCAATAATGGTTGGACGGTTTTGGACAACTGCAACTCCCATTGTGAACTCTGATGTTAGATATAATCCTATACCTCCCAGCTTATTCTTTAGATTTTTCCTCTGTTTTTCTTTTTATATGTATAAACCTCACGTTGCAGATATGGGGTTGAATTTCACTCCCACCAACATTAGAAAGTAGATCTCTACATTCCCGGAAATCAGCAATGCCTGATCTAAATTAAGATAGTTGGCAGGAATTGATTAGTTTCACAGGGGTATTATTAAGGGTTGAGCTCTTGTTATAAAGTGCTCTATTTGCATTTATGGGCTCTCTCAAGATGGAAAGCTGACTTCCTACTTTTTATTTTTATCCCCTCAAACTGTAGGTCAGCCCAACCCCAGGGTGCATCCGGGCGCTAATGAAGATGTTGTACTGCCCTTACTGCAGAGGACTCCCCACTGTGAAGCCTTGCAACAACTACTGCCTCAATGTAATGAAGGGCTGCCTAGCAAATCAGGCTGATTTGGATACTGAGTGGAATCTGTTCATAGGTAAGAAGAATGTGTATAATCAGAAATAAAATAAGATGACAATAATAGCAAATATCCACAGAGCTTTGAGAAGACTCCAGGAAATACTATGGTCAGTATTTACCTGCTTGGACAAAATGGAGTTTTAAATCAGGCAGCAATTGAATCCCTCTCACTTTTTAATCAAAGTTTCAGGCTTGTAGTAAGAAATCACTGTTCCACCCCAGAGCTGTTCTTATTAGATATATAAAGGTGCTGTGTGAAGGAGAGGCTTCCAAGCTGAATTTATTAGCCAATACATGAAGCATGTTGAAAATGTTTTGGTTGAAGGTATGATAACAAGTTTAACATAAGAGTGAGATAAATACTGTATATTAGAAATGTGAAAACTGCGGTCTTGCAGGCTGCACAGATATTAGCAACATATAACCACCCAGAGAGCATAAACTGCAACTCCAGCCTTTCTTAATTCCAATACTGTTGGAATTAATGGCTTATACAGATAACAGATATGGCAAGTAAACTGCTAGTTCAGGGTTTGGGGTTAAAACTTGCCAATGTCTTCCTTTCGGTGTGTCGGATAGAAAAAAGCATCACTATGGCATCAAAATGGAAAAGTGTAGGGACCTCTCACTTAAGAAAAGCTGTGATTCCAGTTATACTCACCCGGTGGATAGGGTGGGCTATACATCAATATAAACAAGTAAATCTTTGAGTACGGTGCACCAAGAACCAACGAGAGACAAATAAAGGACTCTAGTTCTCAAGGATCAACGTTTTTTAAAAAAAATATATGTAGTGCAAGGATAGGATGATGAGCAAATGATAGTGCAGCAAGAAAAAATAGCTAAATATTTCAGCCTCTAATGAGTTTCATCATGCCACAGAAATTTAAGCTGGATTGATAGAAAATAAAACCAGTCATAAAATGAAAGGCAGAACTGCTGACTGTGACTAAAGGGAGGAAATTCTGTCTTTGTAATTTGTAAAATAGTGCATGGGCAAACTCATTGTGTCTAATTTCAAACTCCACTGAACATTGTGAGTTTGGAAGTTAGGCTCTGACTTGTATCCTATCAGATTTGAATTCCACTTAGATGAGGTGGTACAAAAAGGGTCAGAAAGAAGAAAATTGGATGAAAAATGGAGCAGAGAGTAGGCAGAGTGAAAAACAAATAGTGAGAGAATGCTATAAAATCCCTTATGTTTAGAGAGAGTTTAATGAATAAATAATAAAGGGCACCCAGCCTCCTGGCCTAATTTTCTTTTATTTAGTTAAGATCATGGCTTTCAACAGCTGATGGTAAAGAGGAATAAGGGATCTAAGGTGTCTCTTTATTCCACTGGGCTGGCTAACTGCATCCTGGGGAAACAGTATTGTCAGGTGTAGAGCCTACCCAGTTTTACTAGTCCAACCAAGAAGTGAGTAAATGAAGAGGAGGTGTAAGAGAAGCCAATTCACCAGCCACAGCAACTAAGCTAGAGTTAAAAAGAAAGTAATATGCACCTGGTAGCATCAGCACAGATTCCTTCTATCTTGAAGTATAAGAAAAACTTAGAACCAAACTGAGACTAATTCTGGTCTGTATCATGACCAGTGCAAGTGTGTGACACACTTTATTCAACACTTCTGGAACACTACAATCAAACCTTTTTTGGTAGGCATCGTCACAGAGTGTAAAATTATTATCCATTGAACCTTTACGTTAACCATAAAATGTCCCCAGATAAAAAGTTAATTTAAAAGAAGGGGTTCATCCCCCTACTTGCTAAGATGATGGCATGTTACAAAAGTAGGAGTGTTAACATTTTTTCACGATCTTGGGAAGGATGGAATAGAATCTTACTGAGATGCCCTATAGATAAAATAAGATCAAGTTCCTACATTTAATATTTTTTTTTTTTTAATTAAAAAAAAAGATTAGGAGCAAATGCTGTTCCATTGGGTAGGTGCCTGAAGTAGACTTAGGTGCTTATGGGTGATCCTGTTCCATCCTATTGGAGCCCATGACAAAACATTTATCTGCTTTTGTGACCTAGCATTATCTTAGCTTTAAGACTAAACCACAAAAATCCTCCAAGGTGGGGGATCCACCCACCTTCTACGTTAATTTTTTTCCAGAGACTTGAGCAGGATAGAATAGGATTACACTTAAGCAGCTAAGTCTACTTATGTACCTTTTAGGTGAAAAAGGATCTGGTCCTTAGCTTTTAAAGTCTGCAGACACTCATGAAAATGAAGGTAAGCTTTTATGGCTTGATAGAAGGCTTGTTGTACTACACTGAACTGACATGAAAGTTAGCTGTCTATGTAAATACTTGAGGGTTCAGTTCTAATTTATGATATATTACAGCAACAAAAAAACAGCATGTAATATGCTACAGATTCAACTGCATGCTTTGTAGAGGAAAGCAGTCTGTTCTGCAGACACTTCTTTTGTTAAGTGATAGGGAGGCAGTATAAAGCACAATCATTTAGATATATTTTTCTCATACCACCTACACAATTTGCCTAGTACAACCTGAAGAAGCTGAGGGGAGAAAGAGACAGGAAAAATGCAGCTAGTATTTGGAGTAGGTATTCTGTTTTATCCTACTCTGTAAGGCCACTGACAGCTTTGCTGAAGATGAAACTTCTAAGCTCTTCCTTTATGTAGGATTGAAATGCAGTGAATTGCTTCAGCCAGACGGTTGTCAGGGGCTTTCTAATAACGCATGCAATTCCCCTAGTACTAAACACAACAAACTTCTACTCACTGAATTAAAATGAACGGCAGCACTTTACAGCACCGCTGAGCTATGAGAGATTGGAAATTATGCATGAGCAGTTTTTATTCCTGTTTTTAGTGTTGGGAACCATGCACGAGGAAAAAAAATAATTTTGTGCATTAACAGTCTCTGCGTAGGCAGGATTCCCAAATGCTGTAGCATATTTATATAAGAAGTCAGTTTTTTTCTTCCACCAGCTTCCAGTAGTTTGCATTGTTGCATTATCTTTTATTTATTTATTTATTTGCAACTATTGATACAGATATGTATTTTTGACTACCTGGACACATTTTATTGACAGGACTGGTTGTTTTGGAAATATTCTATTGTTGTTTTGATCGTTTGGCAGCGACACCAAAAAATCTACAAATGGAAAAAATAAGAATTGGGCTCTCCGACAAACATGTTCTGACTAATTATAAACACAAAAGTCAAAGCCAAAATCACAGCCATATAGCTGCAAATAAATCTCACATCTACTTTAAGAGCTAAACATCTGGTATTTTCCAAGATTGTGTGTGAAAGTTAGTAAGAAGAAAAACAGCTGGGGCAGTATCAGACAATGTATTGTTTCTTTATTTGTGTCACCTTTAAGATGGATATCCTTTTCATGCAGCTTTTTTATTTCAAGGTTTCTTATTTTTCTTGTTTTTTCATTATTGCACGATAATAGCCAAATATTGCACTTCTAATTCAAACTGAAATCCCATGAAACTCAGTGAGAGTTTCTCTCAAGAAAGCATTTAGTAAGGGACAACAGTGGAAAAAAAATAATTTTCTGTTGGCCTAAATGAGAGGGGAAGACTTGGGGCTTAAGGGGTCACTTTAGTGTGTATGAGTTACACAGGCTTTTATAATATTTGCTTTGAGGATCTTTGCTTCCAGAGTGTGCTACTTAAAAAAACTGCTCTACATTACCCTGTCTGAAACAAAGGTAGTGAGGTGAAATACCAAAAGGTATGTATGTGTGTGTGGCAGGGGGGGCTAACTTCCAAACTCGCAATGTTCAGTGGAGTTTGAAATTAGACACAATGAGTTTGCCCATGCACTGTCTTACAAATTACAAAGACAGAATTTCCTCTCTTTAGTCAGTACAGTCATCCAAAATAGCATACTAGCTACCTTATCATAATAATAGATTGACACCCTTGACCTTAATTTAATTAATTTCCTAATGTGGGTACTTGTAGCAAGTTGCATTTGTAATTCTGTCCCATGGACCAGCATCTACAGCTAGCGCTAGATATACTTCAAGCACAGCAGGTCTTTCACTACTATCAGTGGAAGATTGCACAAAGATCAAGATGTCCTGCATCTCCTAGAGCAGGCACTGGTAGCCTACAGTCCATGGGCTGGATTCAGCCCACAGAACCACTGGGTCCAGCCTGCAGATGTGGGACTTTGGTAGCATTCATCAGTAGGGGGCTTTGGATGTGGGTGCTCTTCCCATACCGCCATAGGGATGAACACTGGCTACAGATGCTCTCTCTTTAATGCCACAGAGAAAAATGGCTATGGCTGATGGGAGCCACTTGCCCAGTCACCTGCTTCTCACCCAAGGTGGGTCATTCTGAACTGCAGCTGGAAAACATTGCCTACCCCTGGCCTAGAGGTATGCATCAGATAATGTAGCCCAAGAAAGGACTACAGTGGTAGCCCCAGTGGTATGTCCAGTGGTAGATGAAAGCTCTAACTATCTTTGGAAAATATGGGCCCCATAGGAAAACCATTTTTATTGCTCTCTTTTTCTGTAGCTTTTCTTGAATTCATTTCATACCTGTCTTGTCTTCTCTCCTATTCCTGGCTGCATTTTCTTTTCTGTAGCAACTTCCAAATAACTGTTTGTGGGCTTATGCCCACCCCTCTGTTTATCCAATCTATAAGGTTCAGTAGCTTTGGTTAGTAAATGTGTAGATGTTAGTAGGGTGACCATCCATCCCATTTTTCCCAGGACAGTCACAGATTTTGGAGGTCAGTTCTGGCTGCTGGGTGCAGATTAAAATGAACCTCCTGGGCACAGGGAACAGTTCATCAGTGAATGGAAGTGGCATGGTGCCCCCAGAAAGGCTGCAGGGCAGACTGTCTATCACAGCATGCTGCTCCATCTTCACCTCTCTGCTGATGCAGGACAGAGGGAGGAAGAGAAGATGGGGTAGGGGGAAAGGGGAAGTGGAGGCAGTGTCCTGGATGTCCTGTATTTCCAGCTGGGATGGATGGTCACCCTAGATGTTTGAGCTGGAACGTTATCACTA